TGTTCGGCCCTTAAAGGGGTCACATCCCACAGGTTGAGAATCGCTGATTTAGAGTTTTTGAGACTGTAAATCATTGTGGGAGTAGACAGCCTCATATTTCTCCCAAGGAGCAAGTGGTGGCTTTGAACTGCCAACTTTCTGATTAGCAGCCCAGAAAACTACTGTGCCACAGGTGCATCTTAACATTGATAAGGTAACTGGAAAAATACTGGGAAACAAACAGTGTTATTAGCCATATTGCCAGTGGTAGCTCTAAACCTAAGGCCCACTTTCCATTTTGAAATGTGAGAGAAGTGTTTGTCAGGAACTAGGATTTGATTTTACCCTCTTTAACAAGCCAATAGGGTTACTGTGAGTTGGCAAGGACCCACTGGCAGTGAGATTGATTGCTGATTAAATAAGCCGGTACATTAGCTTGCTACTGCTTTATGAAAACTGGCAAAGACAAAAGACTTATGACTCCTGGATTAGACAAAGGACAACATTACTCATGGTACATACAGTAAGCTTGTGTCAAGTTTGTGTTAGCTATTCTTGCTTCCCAGCCCCTAAGGGGCTCTATACAGAGAGACCCTGGTGGTTCCTGCACAAGCCGTGGGTTTGTGTGGTGGGCTGGGTTTGCAGTAGCAAGTCTGGTTATTGTCCTAGGAGATTTTACCCCATTTAAGGTTGTTCGCTACAACCACAATCTTGAGAAATAGCCTGTGGTCCTTCCTGGCACACTCCTAAGAATACAGGGCCCAGAGTGGATTGTCTAATGTCCAGCTGGGCATTAGACTGAGAGCCCTCTTGAACATTTGCAAAGAATAACTTTTTTACATTGTCATTCAGCACTGTTCCTTAAATTGTGAGTTAGTTATAGGTTACATGTTGTAAGAAATAGTAGCGATCCCTGTGTCCTCTAGGCAGTTTCCCCAATGCTAATATATTGCAACTCTGTAGTTCAATATCAGATATTAGGGTACTGACCTTAGTATAATCAGTGTATACAACATTTCTGTAACCACTGTTGTAAGCTGGTTGTTGAGTGAACAAAATGAGCCGAGACCGAGCACAGCTTAAAGAGGTTTATTGGGTTCAAACCGAGTCAGCACTGAGGGACCACTTCAGACTCTGTCGAGTACTGAGTGAGATAGTGTGGACCCTGAGCTTTGACCTGGGACCAGCTTTTATAGCTATAACACAGGTGTCATTTTTAAAAAGGCAGAGCTTTGTATTATCTTTATCTTGCAGTTTTTCCAAAAAGCTGCTTATACCAGCATGTAATTTTTCTAAAAAGCTACAGAGTACAGAAGCAGAATATTTTGCAATTAGGCTAACATTTGCGCAAACTTGGGCACATCCTGTTGTCTGCTGTTATTGCAAACCCAGAACAATTTTAACTTTATTTTAATTTTAACTTTCTTATCACACCACAGGATACATCATAGCCATAGTTCTCTTTCATAGCCATGCACATTTCCTGTCCATTAACTGCCTTTCTCCTTAATCCTGGCAACTACTCTGATCTCCATTTTTAAGATTTTATTACTTCTAGGATGTTGTGTAGTACATTATGCTTTGTTTTAGGCTCTTTTCACTTGCATAATTCTGTGGAGATTTGTTAGGCCATTGAATGTATTGATGTGTAATGCATTCCTTTTTATCGATGAGCACTATTCCAGTTTGTTTAATCAGTCACCCATTGGAAGACACCTGAATTGTTTGTGGTTTTGATTCTTCTGAATAAAGCTTAATAAGCATTAATGTATAGGTTTTTACATGTACATAAGTTTTAATTTCTCTGGGGGTGAATTTTAATTTCCATGCGTGCAACTGGTGGTCATGAGGGTGTTGCATGTGTAGTTTTTGAAGAAACACCCCTTTGTTCCCTGAGTGGCTATACCATTTTACATTCCAACCAGCAGTGGATTCAGGGCTAGGTAGGGGACTGCCCATTTCACGACTTAAATAATGACCTGCATCCCACACTTCGGAAGCCCTGGACTATATTGCAGCCGTGCTCAAGCACAATTTCTCAACCTTGCCACTACTAATGCTTTGGTTCAGATGATTCCTTGTTGTCAGGGGCCGTCCTTCACACTAGGATGGTTAGCAGCATCCCTGGCCTCTGCCTACTAGATGCTGGTAGGACTTCTCCCCAAATGCCTGTAGACAGTCTTTCCAAATGTTCTTGGGGAGGGAGTGGCAACAGTCTGCAGTTTAGAACCCCGTGACTAGCTAGCTAAAGGGATCCTAATGAGAAGTAAGGTTGAAGCAGTAAGTTGGATACAGATGGTAGAAGGCTATCTTAAGTGCTATGTTGTAAAGTTTGGCTGGGGGAGGGTTCTGAATTGGGTAGTGATGTGATCAGTGATCTTTAAGAACTTTCTGGTAGCAGGGTGAAGGGTGAAATGAAATGTCACAGAAGAGCATTTAGAGGTCTCGAGCTTCTTAGGATATGATCTGGGATACAGTGGTGTAGGCAGGGTGATGAGGACTTGGTAGAAGATAGTGGGAAAGGAGAAGGGTGTGTGCAGCTCTGGAAGAGGAAGCTCAGGTGGGGAATTTTCTTGGGAGTAGAATCTGGCTGAAGCCTGTATGAGGAGCAGAACTGACTGGGTCCAGCTGTCTTTTTCAGATCTCCCTTCTCTTCTGTTGAAGCTCAAAAGCATTGCTCTGCTAGAGAAAATGAGGGAGGCAAAAACCACTGGGAAGTTTCTAACTGTTCATCAGTTCCGTGTATAAGCTGAGTTTTTCAGCACATTTTTTTATGCTGAAAAAGTCCCCCTCAGCTTATACTCGAGTGAGGGTTCCACTTCACTGTTCTCCAGTGCCGTGCAGGTGTTCCCCTGTCTCTCCTGCTCATCTGGGGGTGCCTGCAGGCCCTGTGGGTGGTCTGATGACTGCTGATATCATCGCTCTTCTTTTCTCCTGCACGTGCCGGCAGCCTCTGTGTTGTCTGTGCCGTACTGGCCAAGAACCTCTCCGCTTTTGTGTGCTGGTACCTAGGGCTCACAGCATCCTTCTCAGATGAATGTCGGATGCGGCCGCTTTTCTTCTCCTGCTCTTCTCCAGGGCTGTGACCAATGACGTAGCCTTTACAGTCTTACCTGTGCTTGGTCACGTCCCCTTGCTCCACCCAAGCATTGCTGAATACAAGTACCGGTATATCTCTGGTCTTGGATATACAGTACGTTTATTTATAGTACTTAGTCTGCTGTATTTTATTTTTAATTTTCTTATTAACCCCTATCTGGATGCAGTATTGACTGACTATGCTTCCATAGTGCAGCTAGTGTTAGGGCTCATAATATACACATTGTGTTGTGTGCACACTGTGTTACTGCATGTGTTGTGTTAGCACTTCCCATACATAAGCGGTAATGCTGTGTACGCAGTAATGCAGCGCATGCAGTAACACAGTGTGTACACAGTGCACCATGTATATTATGAGCTCTAACACAGGCTGCTCTATGCAAATAGTCATGTCATCACATTCTGGGATATCATCAGTCTGCGTCAGGCTTCAAACTATACAAATTGCATTGTGTACATGCAGTAAGGGAGTGTATGTAGTAATGCAGCACATACAGTAACAAAGTGTGTATAGTTATTGTTTATACCATATTGTTTTTGTTGAGCCTCTTTTTCACTTACAGAGATAGTTTACTATTTTTCTTTGAAATATTCAAAAATATTTAACCTATTGATGCCTCAGTGTAACTTTATTGGTATCGCATTTCTCACCCTAGGCTTATACTTGAGTCAATAAGTTTTCCCAGTTTTTTTGTTTTTTTTTGGTGGTAAAATTAGGTGCCTCGACTTATATTTGGCTACTACTTGAGCATATACGGTAATTGATGTATTACTGGTTCTGTTAGAAACATTTTGTTAGATGTTTAATGTGTTTTGATGATACCTTGTTTTGCCAGATGTTTGCTTTAATTTAGTCAGATTGCTACTGATAGACACAGAAAGCAAAATGGGAGAAATTGCTCAGGAGAATTTGGAATGTAATTTAGCTTCCTTTCTCTTTAAATTCTCTATAGCACTGTGACTTTTAAGGTGTAATATTTAGTTACTATTTTATAACATATATTCTATGTGCATATGTTAGTTATGTATGTTTTAAGTATCCAGAGTTTTAAAAACACCCCTTTCAAGTGAGGTAAACTTTCCTTTGCTGATTAAATTAATGCTATGAAAAGCATTGTAACAGTTCCACAAGTTAGAAAGACATTTCTAGACATTTCTCCTCAGGAAACCAGTAGAAGTAAAATTAAGTTTGCAGAGATGTGTATTGTAGCACCTAATGAAAGTTGGGAATAACTGCAGCAATGAAAGTGCTATTACTTCAAGAGGAAATGTTATGCAGATGTTAAAAATATGTGTGCAACTATGTAGAAGTGGTTCTAATAAGTGAGAAAAGCTGAATATCATATGATAGGTATATAAAATTCAGCCTTGTAAAATTCTATTTTATTCTTGGGTGGAGAGATTATGGGAGGGTTAAGTTATTGTAATTCTTTAATGTCCATATCCCTCCTGACTTAGCTCTGAAGATGAAGTGGATGTGCTGCTCCATGGGACGCCGGACCAAAAACGAAAACTCATCAGAGAATGTCTTACTGGAGAAAGCGAATCAAGTGAAGATGAATTTGAAAAAGAAATGGAAGCAGAATTAAATTCCACCATAAAAACAATGGAGACTAAGTTAACTTCGCTGGAAACAGGTAGACTTTCCAGTTAATTGCAGTAAGCTTCCTGAGGGTGATGAAGGAGCCTCCCTAAGGAATCCTTTGAGGTGCTGTACTGCATCCCTAGCCTTTCAGTAGCTGTTCAACAGGTCTTTACTGAGGGAGTGAGTCAGTATGCTCAGAGACCAGACCTGGGATTGTCTTGGATGATTAGTGAAGTAGTTTCCTATGTTGCTGACAGAGTTGCAGTTTTACTTGATGCTTTTTATTCCTCACAAGATTGTACAAGTGTTTTCTGGCACTGATAGGGCACAGTTAATGGTGCATCACCACAAATCCCTGTCTCATTATGGTTAAGTCATGAAAACATAATGGCTAAGTAGTTTAAAGCTTCAGGAATCCAGGACCAGTACAATCTTTCTGAAACTGCCCCACAAATGCTAATGTTAGCATTTTGCTTTGTTGTAAACTTAAATGGTAAAGAGGAACTTAAATATTGTTTTTCTTGTCATCTGCATCTTGAGCAGTAGCAACATGTCCTTACCAGAGTGATCTAGTGGATTTACTTACTTAAGAAGGATTCATTTTGATATTTGGCCTTTATTTAAAATGTGTTTGATCCTAAAACTGGTTTGTAGGAAATAAAGACTCTTCAGTATTGGTTTCCACATTAGTAGCTATGTACTTTTAACTATTAAGAGCTGAAAGAATAAAATAATAGAAGCAACAGTAATATAGTACCAATTAACAGACTGAAAACCGAAAACATGCCAAGTAGGCATGATTAGGCATGCAAGCGTGTGATGACACATGTAGACAATGTTAGGGCACTGGGCACACGGCACAGCTGGGAGGAGCAAGAGGATGTCCTTGATTTATACTCCTTGCTTCTCTGTACAGAGCTGTTGTTCTCTCTTCCTGACAGTCCTTTAAAACAAGATGTTTACTCCCTGTTCAGAACATAGCTGAAATGTAGAGACTTATATGCTGGCTACCTGAAAAGGTAGTGCTTTCATTTTATTAGTTTTGTGGGGAAGAGAGAGATTAATAGTTTTATGATATTGAATACCTAATCAAGAAGGGGCAGTTCTCTGTAGTTGTCCATTGTTGTTATTTGGTGTCATGAGTCAGCTCTAACACATAGCTACTCTGTGTACAAGAAAATGGAACACTGCCCTGTCGTGTTCTATACATACAGTTGTTGCTATGTTTAAGCTACTTGTCAGCGTATCTTGTTGAGGACCTTCCTCTTTTTCACTGATTCTTCTTTACTGTGCATAATGTACTCTTTCAGTGAGCGGTACTTCCTGATAACTTGCCCACAGTTTGTGAGACAGTCTTACCATGCTTTTAAGGAGCATTTGTTTGTACAGTGAACCCTCGTTTATCGCAGTTAATCGATTCTACACCCTACTGTGATAAATGAAATTCCGCGAAGTAGGATTCCTTATTTGTAAATCAAATATTTTCGTAGTTAGAGCATAGAGGACATGAAAAAACACCCTTTAGTCACCATTACACTCGTATTACCCAATTTATTAAACGAAAAAGGGAAAATACAGTAAAACATTTTGGACGTTACAATTATCATTTATCATTTATTATATTATTTATGGCATCAAGCGTGTACAGTATGAGCCAATCAGTGGCAGTAATGACAGAGCATGCGCTGTTACGCAAAAACCGTGATAGAGAGAAGCCGCGGAAGTCGAAGCGCGAAGTGGCGAGGGTTCACTGTACTTCTTCCAAGACACATTTGTTCATTCTTTTGGCATTCTTTATATATTCAATATTTTTTTGCTAGCACTATAATTCAGGTGCTTCAGTTCTTTTTTGGGTCTTTCCTATTCATTATTCAGCTTTCGGGTACATATGAGGTGATTGAAAATATCATGGCTTGAGTTAGTCATACCTTAGTCCTCAGGTGACAGCTTTGATATTTAATGCTTTAAAAGAGAGTTGTCCAGTGGTGTACATTGCTTGATTTCTTGACTGTTACTTCCTGGGCATTGGTTGTGGATCCAAGCAAAATGAAATCCTTGACAACTGTTTTTTCTCTGTTTATCATGATGTTTCTAATTGGCCTTGATGAGGATTTTGCTTTCCTGGGGTTAAGATATAATCCATACTGAAATAGTCTCTGATGTTCATCAGTCAGTGCTTCAAGTCGTGTTAGCTTTCAGCTAACAAGGTTGTGTCATTTCCTTATTGCAGATTTTTAAATCATATATATGTGTGTGTGTGTGTGTGTGTGTGTGTGTGTATCCCGATCTTCCTGCCATTGGGTCAGCTCTGACTCATAATAACCCTACAGGACAAGGTAGAATTACCCTGTGAGGTCTGAGACTGCAACCCATTGCTGGAATAGAAAGAAAGCCTTGTTTTTCTCGCGTGGAGCTGGCTGGTGGTTTGGAATGGCTGACCTTGCAGTTAGCACCCCAACCCTTAACCACTACACCACCAGGGTTCATATGTACGGAGGCTCCATGTAGATGGTCGTCACCATCTTGGGTAAAGGGACAAGCCCATGTTTTTCAGAAATTAAACGGATCACACTCAAACTACCTACTCTTCCTTATACCTAAGGATACAGTGGGCTAAATCCCTTTTAAAACACTCAAATCCAATGTTCTCTTCTGCACTTCAAACACAACATTCTCAATTCAAGGGAAGGGAGACCTTTAGAACAAACTCAAGGAAACAACCACGTAATTTTCAAGCTCAAGATAAGAGAAACACTGAAGAAAACCAATCTCACAGAGACAGAAAATAGTTTCATCCTACCCAGACCTTAAGAGGAGTCCTGGTGGCATAGTGGTTCCACATGAGCAGAATGATGTAGTGGTTACAAGTTGGGCTGCTAACCCTAAGGTCAGCAGTTCAAAACCACCAGCCACTCTTTGGGAGACAGGGGTTTCTACTCCCATAAAGGGTTGCAGTCTGAGAAACTCATAAGGGCAGTTCTACCCTGTCCTATAGGGTCTCTGTGAGCCAGCTTCAACTTAATGACAGTTATTTATTTTTAACCAGACCTTCCAGAGATCTGCCAGAGAAAGATCCCAAATCCAAGAAAATAGACTAATAGACTCTTAGACAAAGTGAGAGGAGAGAAGAAAAATTCTCTGGGGAAGGTTCTCTCACTTCTGGGATCTGATTGAATTCTTGGTCTATATACAGGTTCCACATGAGCAAATTTAAATTTTCTATAGTTCCTGTGCTTTGCAATGTTATCCATAATTTGTTGTGATCCACACAGTTTATTCAATGCCTTTGTTTCATCAATAAAACACAACTAAAAAGCTTTCTGTTACTTTCTGCTTTTAGGCAAGACCCATCTGACAGCAGCAGTGATAACTCTCATTTCATGCCCCATCTGAATCTGGCTTGAATTTCTGGCCGGTTGATGTACTGTGAAGTTCACTGTTGATGTACTATTATAGCTGTAGTTATAGAAGGCACAGAAATTCAACAGATAATTTGTGTGAAAATATTTCTCCAACCAAATGAGATTGGGAATAAAGTTGATATTTGAGTTGATCAAAGTACTTGGGGTTTTACCTTCTGAATTATATATGTTTTAATCTATAAATTTCCTTTCTGGTTTCTAAAGGTTCTTCCTCAGGAAATGGGAAAGTTGGAACAGCTCCGACAAAGTACTATGATGATATTTATTTTGATTCTGATTCTGAGGATGAAGACAAAGCAGGTGAGTAAATTTTGCTTACAAAGTTTAGCAGCTATATAGTGTGTGTGTGTATTATTTCCAATAAAATCAGTTTGCCTGAGCAAGACTGCCAGATTCTAGGTCTTTTCTGGAATCCAGGAGAGGAGAGGATCAGTCAGCCTGTCCTCCTTTAGCCCATTCTATGGCCTGCCAAGCCCTACTCAGAAGCCGCACAAACCACCTTGTTGTACAGGTCAGTATCCCACTGAACTACTCCCTGCTGGTTGTGGACTTGAATAAATCAGTTATACTTTAGGGAAAAGGTTTGTCTAACAATTGTTTGAAGTTAGTATTACCCTCTGAGTTTTATCTTTAAAGAAATTACAGGCCATTGATGTGAAAAGCGCTAATAAGAATAGTTGGAGATGAGCATGTGATGGCTTGTCCCCCAAGAATGGCGTTGCCTGGGCACAGCAGTTGAAGGGGAGTAGAGTGGCCATTGACTCAACCCATCAGGTTCCTTGAGCAGCAAAGTTTATTTTTGTATTTGAAGACAGTTTTTATATTTTACTCTGCAGACTTTTCCTAACTTGTTGCTTTTACATCAACTTTTCTGTTCTTTGGACTAAAATTTTTATAAAATTTGAACAATGCTGAGCGTAATGACAAGACAGAATTCACAGATAAAGCTTACATGGCAAAGTAGCCATTTTAAATATTATTACTTAAATATTGCCCTTTAAGGAGTCCTGAATGTCCTGTCGGGTAAGCATTGTGTTCCTGACTGCAATGTTAGCAGTTCAAACCCATCAGCTGCTCTGTGGCAGTAAGATGAGACTGTCTGCTCCCATAAAGGTTTAGTCTTGGAAACTCACTGTGAGTTAGAATCAACTCTTGGGCAGAGTTTTGATTTTAAGATACAATAAAAAAGTGCTTTCTGTTGTGAGTGGCTATAGTTTTCCCCCCATTCATATTGAACTATTTTTATTTTAATTTAAGTATTCTTTCTCTGTGGGAACTTGTGGAGAATTTAGATGTCAAGAATAGTTTCTAATTTTGTATGTTTTGAATGATTCCGATGGTTCAAAGGTTAAGCACTTGGCTGCTAATTGAAAGGTCTGCGGTTTGAACCCACTAGCTGCTCTGAGGGAGAAGTCAGTCTTCCCCTAGAAAGATTACAGCCTAAGAAACCATGTGGGGCAGTTAAACACAATTAACACACTTTAGATATGATGCTTAGCCTTGTCCTTCTGTTTCAGAGGTAGCACAGGTGACCAAGAAGAAGAAGAAGAGACGACATCGGATTCCAACCAATGATGAATTACTCTATGATCCCGAGAAGGATAACAGAGATCAGGCATGGGTTGATGCACAGAGACGAGGGTAAGAATTAATGAATACTTACGACTCTTTAGGTTAAAAAGTAACTGAAAGATGATTTCCACTGCATTCACGTTTAGGGTGCTTGTGTATGTAGGTTTATATGATATGTTCACATAAAGAAAGAAGTTTCAAGAGAAAACTGGAATGTTTATTTTGAAAGTAAGAAGCATCTTTCAGTTAGATGATGGATTTAAAGATTCTTGGCTCAGAGGCAGCTTGGGAGAGTTTGAAATGCAGAAGCTTGAGCTCTGTCTTGGAAGCTTTAGATTCAGCTAAAGTGGGCTGTAGGGATTTGTGTTTTTCCTTAAATCTGGAGGGATTTTATGAAGTTTTTATATCACCTTTTAGCTTCCACTCGTCCACTTTGGACTATTTCTTCCAGGTACCTCTCATTTAGAACATTGTGTGAGGCAGGGTTCTTTAGAGAAACAAAACCAGGACACTTATGATTATTTATAAAAGGATAGGTCTATATAGCGAGAAGGAATACCACAACTAATTAGTCCACAGAGCAGTACACAGGGGCTCAGTCCCCCTCACTTTCATAGGACAGTTAATGTACTGAAGGTCCTTCCTACTCAAGCTGGCTGCTGGTCCAAGGTCAAGGAAGCAGACAGTGAAGTGGCTGGCGGGAGGTATGCGGTCTGCACAGGCCAGATGAGTTGGCCTTCAGGTAGCAGACACAGCAAGGTTGTGTAGAACGGCAAGAGTAGAAAAATGAGGTATGGAGGTGTAGCAGAGGCCAGTAGTGCAGCAGCAGCAGTGTAGCACAGCAGGTTGTGATGGAGCTTCAAGACAGCGATGCATGGCATAGTGACATGATCCACAGGTTGGCTTGGCCCACAGGTAGTGCAGCACATGGTTGAGGCAGAGCAGCTAACTCAGGCAGCAGCATGCTGGTCCATCACCAGGAAGAAAGAGGAAGGGCCAGCCTCGGCCTTGGAGAGTCATTTATCTTGATTGCCCGCCAGTCAGTCTGCAGCCTGATTGACAGGCTTAATTCTGCCCAGATGTCCTTATGGGAGCTATGTTGGCACAAAAAAACCTGTCACAAACAATTTTTGATCACCCACTGTGTGAAATGAACATTATCAATTTTGAGTTGCAATGAGTGAGAAAGACATGGTCAGGGAGCTTACAGTCTGAAAACTCTGTAAACTGGACAACCAGCACTTACAGAGTAGGGAGCTGTGGTCCTCCATGAGGAGAGAGCATGTACATGAATTACTTCCAGTTCTTCTGTTAGGGACATTTATCTCTTCCCCTCGTTTATTTATGTAGTGGACTCATGGATTTTTATACTTTGGGTTCTAATCCACTACTGCTTTGTTTTATTGCTCAGTTTATTCCATCTTTCACCAGTAGGAATGCTGTTATATCCCTTTGACATCCTCTATCAGGGGACGAGTGTGGATTTTTTTTCTTCTTGTTCTTTCTTTTTGAGCACTTTCTTACTTTTTGGCCTTGCAAAGAGCACTGGGTTCATGTGACAAGAGTTTCCTGTGCATGGGTTTGGATTTGTGGCAGGTCTGACCCCATGGGCCTCTCACAGTGCCCCATGCCAAAGCAAACTGTCACCCCGAACCATTGTCTGGCTTTACCCCATGGGCTTCAGGCACTGAAGCGGGTTGCACAGTGAAAAAAAAAAAAAAAAAGACGGAAAAAAAAGTTTCCTATCCTACTCCTACAATTGGTCTTTTCTCCAAGGAGAGATCTGGTTCCTTTTGCTGGACAATGGTAGTAGAAACCAAGATCTGGCTTTAGTGTGTTTTTATCTCTTCTTTTTCCGTTGTAGTTACCATGGTTTTGGAATACAACGGCCACGTCAACAGCAGCCTGTTCCTAATAGTGATGCTGTTTTGAACTGCCCAGCGTGCATGACCACTCTGTGCCTTGATTGTCAAAGGTAATGGATGAAGGGTAACAATAACCAAAACTTCAACTTTGTGGTCCTCTGTTTAAATCAATAATAGATGCTTGAGGTACTCAGAGATCCTGTTAAGTTTCTGTTCTCATATGTCCTTGTTGCTACATGACTAATATATGTGTGAATAATTTTGGTTGTATGGGGGACTTCAAGAAGTTCAGGAAGAATTCCACTATCTTTTAATTCCATGTTCTCACAGGTTTTTAAAATCCTCTCGTATCGCTTTTCTAATACAGCGCAAGGACTCGGTGGGACTGCGTGTGTCTTTTTGGAACAACCTCTCAAGTATACTCTTGGCCCTTTCTTTTTTGGTAATCTTATAAAGTGACACGCTTAGACCATATTCTGAACCAAGTTGACTGAAACTAAGTTATGACAACAGGTAGTGGATTTGTCCTAGAAACTAGCAAGTACCTAGTTCTAGTCTATTCTTATTAACTAGCTTGAGATTTCTTATCATCTGCAATTGTTGCATTTCTTTTTTAAACCATTATTTATTGTAAATTAGTTGTAGGTTTATATTTCAGATAATCAACTTTGTATTCAACAGTTTAAACTACTAATCCAACCCCCTGAAATACTTAATTTTTTAATCTTTACGAAGTCTTATATCTGTTTGCATATAACTTGATATTTAGAATATGTTCAGGAATAAAGCAAAAGTAAGATGACTAATTGTACTTCCAATGAAAGAGCCCTGCTGGTAATAATGGGTTACACTTTGGGTGCTAACTAAGAGGTCAGCAGTTCAAAACCACCAGTCTCTACAGGAGAAAGATGAGGCTTTCTAATCTCATAAAGAGTTGCAGTCTCAGAAACCCATAGGGGGCAGTTCTCTGTCTTATAGGAAGGATCATTATGAGTCAGTGTTGACTTGAGGGTAGTTAGTTTGAGAGTTTAGTACTTCCAAACAGAAGTGCATCACAGGGTGATTACATTGAAAATTATGTTCCGTATTAGTATAGGGTTCAATAATATGAAGTAAAAGTTTTAAAAAAATTAATGGAAAATGTAAAGCTTTGGGAAATCTGATAAGAGTTGTATGAGCCCCTAATAAAATGATTTTTTTAAAAAGCCAATTAAGAAAAATAATTACAAACTGAAAAAAAAAAGCCATGTAGGCCAAAAAAGTAGGCCATACACAGTGAATTATAAGTAAATTCAATACCTCATCAGATTGAATGTAGATGAATCTTTTCCTTTTATATGAGATGATTAATAAAGGTCTATCAAAACTTGGGGAAAAAAAGGCTTTGGGAAATCATGATTTAAGACTTTAAGAGAAAAAAATCACCAAATTGTGGAACGTTTCGTGTTTTTTAATAGTTCAGGAAAGTGATTTGCCCCACAGCAGAAGAAACACAGAGGAGGCACAACAATTGAATGAGATAGAGCTTCTTACAGATGTGAGGTAGGTAGAGTCATGTGTACGTAGGCAAGAGCAAGTCAAGAAGTATTGCTGTAAAGCTTCTGGTTCTGTGAACATGAGGTTATTCCAAACAAAGTGTTTTTAAACATGCCTTTCTGATCAGTGGATGGCTGTGGACAAGTTCTCTCAGTGAGATATTTGCTTTAGTCTAGGGGTCCCTTCAAAAAAAGATCCAATTAGAACAGTGGCTTCTGAGGGATCTGCTTGTCCAGTTACGTTCAAGGTCAGCTCAGAAGATTATGGCATGCCTGTTTGTTGGGTCACCAAAGGGGAAATCTTGGTAGACATCAATCACGGAGGCTATTGTGAATAAGCATTCAGAAAACTGAAAATTGCATTGGTGAGGAAAAATGCCAGAAAGTTGCACCAAGGAATTAAAAAAAATTATTTTAAATTTTTTAATTTATCCATCATGACAATAGACTTACTACTTCTTCAAGGGAAGCAAGGCTATCCTTTAAGACTTTTTTTGGGGAAACCATACTCCATTCACCCTACAGCCCTGTTCTTGCCCTTTCAGACGTCTTTAGTTCCCAGAATTCAGTGAACATTGAAAAGGCACATGATTTGAGTTCCTGAAGGATGCCAACCTACCATTTTGACGTGGCGTCAACTGAAGAGCACAGGGTTCTTCAGGAAGTTAGAGAGACGGAAACACCGCCTCCACGGTGTATAGATAGACCCGCTGATGTAAGACATGCGAGAAACAGTAACTTCACATTTTGAGAGATTTGGTTAATAATGCTCTCTATGATTTTGTAGCAGTAACTTTTGTCTCACCATTATATACATAGGAAACTAGTTGAATATGTGTTTGAAAGGTTGGATTGTCTTATCATTTTCCCCAATCTAAATTCCTGATAGTTGTCGTGGTCAACAAAATGATGGAGGTCAACATTTGTAACTAATGGGCGCACAGCCCAGTTCGCTCTTCCTTAGCTAAATCGACATTTTTGTTGCACGAGGCTTTCAAGAAACAAAACTCACTGCCATCCAGACAGTTTCAGACTCAGAGAGACCCTATATAGGACAGGGTCGAAGGGCCCCCGTGGTTTCTGAGGTTGTCAGTCTTGATGGGAGTAGAGCACTTCCCTTTTCCCCAGCCGAGTGGCTGCTGGGGTCCGGTTGCTGACCTTGGGGTTAGCAGCCCGACGTGTAAACCACTGTGCCACCTGGGTTCCTTGCACGAGAGTTAAGGGTTTAGAAATACAAAAAAACAGCTTGCTAAGTGGGAAAAGAAGTAGAAGATATTAAATGAGCTATCTTTTGGATTGGCAGATTGTCCTAGAGTGGGTACTATAAATTTTTTAAAGCTCTCGAAACTTTAAAAACTTCCATGATGACTGGAATTGCACCACCTCTAATAATTAAAATACTCCAAGATTATGTAAGCATCATCAGCCAAGTTTCCAGTAACTTTTGCCTTTGTTTGAAGATCAAATCACATTTTCTTCTGAGATAAAAGTTAACTTTAAGCACTAATACATTCATTCTTCTTATGTGTGCAAGATTTGTTCCTGTTTGTATAACAACTCTTAAAATTTCTTGAAGCTTGCTCTTTTGGCCCGATGGCTTCACTTTGTTGTTTCAGTAAGTTTGGTGTTCTTAAATGTTATCTGATTGGATAGATAGTAAAATGGAATATACTATTCAATTTCTCCATTTCATTTTCCTCGTAGACATGAATCATACAAAACTCAATATAGAGCAATGTTTGTGATGAATTGTTCAGTCAACAAAGAGGAGATTCTAAGATATAAAACTCCAGAGATCAGGAAAAAGAGACGGGGCCATAAGAAGATGAAGTCGAACCATGACGATGCTACAGAGCAGCCAGAGACAGAAGTGGAAGAGATATACCACCCAGTCATGTGCACTGAATGTTCCACTGAAGTGGCAGTCTACGACAAGGACGAAGTCTTCCATTTTTTCAATGTTTTAGCAAGCCATTCCTAAGTAGTGCAGTTGGCCTTTAATTGCCCAGCATTGTATATAAGGCACATATGGACAGCTATTTTTCCCCTGCATATTCATGTGATTAAGTGACATTTCAAATTGTGGAAGAAGCAGTGTTTTATCTTTATGGAAGATAATGGCTAATTAACCTTTATCCCAACCCCTGAAAAAAAATTTTTTTTTTTCTCCAATACTGATGGGAGAGATTGTTTATTCCCGTTTTGATGGTCATTTGGAAAGTGTGGACTTTTATTTATTAAAACTCTTTAGAATTGAAATGTTCTAGAATTACAAGAAATCATTGCTTCAGATGTTATTTTAAAAGTTATTTTGGATATACGTTATCCTTGGTGTAATTAAACTAGAAGTTGTTCTTTTGGCAGCCGTATCTCTACTTTTCCCACATCACCCAGGTGGGTGACAGTATTTCATAACTGAAAATTACATGGAGTGACTTTGTCAGGTCCCTTAAATCATACAGGTCTCTCTCTTAAAGGATTGCACTTACTAGTTTTCTACACTTAATCACTTAATAAATTATAAATTTGTTGTGAAGAACTACCTTAGACCCCTGCACATCTCTTGTGCATACCATTTATACCTTCTTTGCCAGCAACAGGGGCCTTGGTGGTGTAGTGGTTACACGTTGGGCTGTTCAAAATTCCCCTTCGCCCGAGGAAGAGAGATGGGACTTGGTACTTCTGTGAGCAGTTAGTCTCAGAAACCCACGGGGCAATTCGACCTAGCTCGAGAGTCACTGTGTGTCGGCATTGACTTGATGGTAGTGAGTTTAAGTTGCCAACAACAAAGCTATGATTTTTTGTGTGTGTATGTGTGTATATTAATAATACCAAAAAATCACTAGTTATAGTTTGGGGAAATTTGTTTGTAGACATCTGGACATTTAAAAAATTGTAAAGAAGGTTGTGTGATTGGACTGTTTCCAAAACCAGCATTAAAAAAATTAGGGTCCTTTTGTTTAGTGATGACAGAGTAGAATAGTAAGAAATCAGGAAATGGGTTTTAATTCAGGCTCTGCCTTGTTAGCCTGGTTTAAGTATGTTCCTTTGAGCCCATTTTCTCATCTGTAAAAGAAAAAAAAATTAAAACAATGGATTCCCACAGAGATGAAGACAACTTGAGGGGCCCAACACACACCCCTCCCACCTCCTTGCCTTCTGTGCGATCTGAAAGTCCCATTAAAGGGGGCACAAGTGGTGGTATTTTCCTATATAAACTAGGTGGAGGCAGAATAGAAAGGACTGTGTGCTAGGGAATTCCCAGGGTCTTAATAACTAGCAAGTGAAGTCATTTAACAAGTAGGCTGATAACTATGTATTTGGGAACACTACACTGCTGATCTTTGAACAACCTGAGGGGCATTGGTCCCTACACAGTCAAAAATCCAACTATAACTTCTGACTGTCCCCAATTCTACAGAGCCCCAGTGGTGTAGTGTTTATGCATTGGGCTGCTAACTGTAAGTTCTTCAGTTTGAAACCATCAGCTACTCTGCAGGAGAAAGAGGAGGGTTTCTACTTTCACCAAGAGTTTCAATCTCAGAAACCCACAGGGCAGCTCAACCATGTTTTGTAAGTTTGCTAGGAGTCAGCAGTGGGGTAGGGTTGAAATGACTAACAGCCTATTATTGACTGGAAGCTTTACAAGAACAAAACCACTTATTTTACATATATGTTATGCTGCACCTACTCAGAAGCTGCCCTTTCAATGCAAGATAAAACGGTGTATTACAAAGCTCGTTTTTTTGTTTTTGTTTTAACAGTGGTCCTTACACTGGATTCATTTATCTTGAAATGGGGAGCAACTGCAGCTGCAGACCTCAGTCTACGGCAGTGGTTCTCAACCTGTGTGTCTTGATCCCTTTCGGGGTCGAACGACTTTCACAGGGGTCGCTTGCTTCATAAAAGTAGCAAAATTACAGTTAAGAAGTAGTAATGAAAATAATTGTCGGGGGTCACCACAACATGAACTGCATTAAAGGGTCTCGGCATTAGGAAGATTGAGAACCACTGATCTACAGCAAAAACCAAGCAGTTCAACTTTTTTTTTTGCTCTCTGGGAGCATGTCTAACTTCACTAGTGGTGCTGTGCATGGGCCCCATCGGTGTTAGTTTAGGTTTATGGTAGTACACCAAACACCAACATTACATGGGAACCAAGGGAGATCATTTTTTCTCCTCAGGAGGAGATGAGTATTGTCACGTGGTGTTTAAAAGAAATCTGCACACTTCAAACCCCCGTTGAAATGTTTTTTATTTCTCCTCAGACTCCAAATTTTCACCAATCTTATTTTCATAGCAGATTTCAAGCTTCTCATATTATGAAGCTGTTGCAGCCTCATCAGGCTAAGACCTCCAGGGCCGACCAATCTATTGTGTGCACTGAGGGAGTTTATCCAGCAGAAGACCAAAGGATAGCGTTAGGATAGGGCCTGGGGAATGGGTGGTAGTACAATATACGCGAAGCAGGATTTTTTTATAGGTTCAAAGCAAAACAGGGCTTGTATAAAATGGGCTAATTGAGGTTGGAACTGTGACGTCCTGTTTCCTTGGGAACTGTAATCCTTAGATGAGTGCTAGGTCCATGTATTAGTCTGGGTACTTTGGAGAAACAAATCCACAGCGACTCATGTATAAGACAGAGTTTTATGTAAAGAAAAGGTGCATCACGAAAACATCCCAACCCAATGCTGCCCAAGCCCACAAGTCCAACATTAACCCAACACCAC